CTCATGCCCCCCAGCTACGTGCCATCACCCCAGACCCAAAGCACGGCCCTTCCTCTTTATTCCGTCGGTAGCAGCACGCTGCAAACCCGCCGAGCGCTACAAAGGAGTAAGAGAGTGCTGTGTTTTTTTCCAGCAGCCACACCGATTCGAGTACGAAAACAAAGCTTCCTCTTTCTTCCTTTCGTATTGTGACACGGGAACAAGTACGCAAGTTATGGGCCCACTAAAAAGCAGAGACAGGTAATAGACTCGTTAAGGATAAAAACAGTCAAACTTTACAAACCTGAGAATATGACAGAAAATATATACACGCCAGCAAGGCAACCAGTTTCAGCAGTAACCCCAAGTGCCACAAACAGTTCCCTGAGGAAGAAATAAATTAATCAGTACACAGTCATCAATTTTTCATCAGCAAAACCCAGGACACATTAATTAGTAATTGCCAATCATTTAGTGTAGCTGTGCTTAGTAACAGATACATTCATAAATGAACATTCAGATATCAGCAGTGATATTTTATCACTACCTACGTTTACATATTAAATAGTACTTTAAGCAATGAAAATAAACACAGCAATTAACAACCTCTTAATCCTAAAGTACACCTCTTGGCTAACCCAGGGACAGTACACCTACAGAAAGAAGCAAATTTAGGTATTCGAAGAGAAATACTAAATTAAAACTTCTCCTCTCCCAAACCCCTCTGCCCAGGCAGTGTTTATTGTAGGGAATTGTAAATCAATACAGCAGAATGCCCAACAGCTTTTGTCACGTGAACTACGCAGAGCATAGACTGTTCAACTCCAGGTCCCAGCTGGAGCCCAAAGCTCAGCTCCGGGTCATTAAGGACCAGGGTCTTGTTGGGAGAAGACCAAGAAATTGCTCTCAAAGCTGCCGACTGTTACTAAGCTCTCCCCGAGCCTCAGCATCGCAACACAGATCGTCTCCCTCTCTCGCCGTAGAACTTGGCAGCTGTCAACAACTGCAAGTTCTCACGGGCAGATTTTCTAGTTCCCCAGCACACCACTGCTCTGAAGCACGCAAGAGTCATTTCTCTGTATCTGGAACAGAAGTGCCTTTGTAGAAGAAAAAAATCCAAAAAACAAAACCGGAGCTATTTGCCTTTGAGATATCTTGTAAAACCAGCCGGACTCACCAGGGCACCCCAGCAGCCACCTTGGCTGGAAGGGAGACAGCAACCCATGTCTGCAGTTTCACAGAACCCTAGAGCGGTTTGGGCTGGAAGGGGCCTCAAGGATCATCCAGTTCCACCCCCCTGCTTTGGGCAGGGACATCCCCCACTGGATCAGGCTGCTCAAGGCTCCATCCAGCCTGGCCTTGAACCTTCCAGGGGTGGAGCATCCACAGCCTCCCTGGGCAACCTGTTCCAAGTGCCTCACCACTGTCAAGATAAAGAACTTCTTTCTTATATCTAGTCTAAACCTATGTTCTTCCAGCTTTCACCCACTGCCCCTTGTCCTGTCACCACAGGCCCTTGTCAAAAGTCCCTCCCCAGCCCTCTTGTAGCCCCTTCAGGTGCTCGCAGGCTGCTGGAAGGTCTCCCTGGAGCCTTCTCCAGGCTGAACATCCCCAACTCTCTCAGCCTGTCCTGGTAGGAGAGGTGCTCCAGCCCTCTGACCATCTCTGCAGCCCTCCTCTGGACTCGCTCCAACAGCTCCGTGTCTTTCTCCTGCCGGGGGCTCCAGAACTGGCCGCAGCACTGCAGGTGGGGTCTCACCAGGGCAGAGCAGAGGAACAGAATCCCCTCCCTCGCCCTGCGGGTCACCCAGCTCTGGATGCAGCCCAGATCCTTCTCCCCAGGACTGTTCCCAACCCACTCATGGCCCAGCCTGTACCTGTGCTTGGGTTTGCCTTGGCACAGGCGCAGGACCTTACACTGTTGCATGATGCAATGTCACAGCTCTTGATAAAGCACACCTGCGATGGTCAAACCCCGTTCCAAAGTATTCTAACAGCCCAGAGTTACCAGCTGCCCCATTTTTCAGCTGACACACAGTTCACCTACGACAAACGGTGTTTCTGTGATCAGGGTGCAACACACTTGGACTGAGTTACAGAGAGACCGAGACCTACCAGCAGGACCATTTTCTGTGCGCCTACCTCCGCAGCAACACACAAGTGTTTTGTAATAGAAACAAAAACAAAGATCTTACCATTTGCTTTCTTCTGGACTATCTGAGGACATATAGCTAAGGTGGCATAAATGACCATAAACCAGACGGTGACCAACGGCACGAAGTAGTAGAACTGGTAGGGTCGGTCCATCACTATGCACAGTACCACAACCAGGAAATTGAGACGAAATAAAACCTGGAGGGTGTCAGAAGAGAGAAGAGAGAAGACAGAGGTTATGTGAAATGGGAGGCAAAGCTGAGAGAGACGGGCGACACATTTCTTTACAAACAAAACACAAAAATATTCACATGTTCTACATCTCAGATGAATCTCAGCTGAATCCCAATATATTGTAAATTGTTCCTGCAATTTAAACTCCATTGTCGTATACTGGAAAATATTCTTCTCGATATTTTACATTCCACATACTTACATTTTTTGTGTTGTCAATGTCACTTACACGCTGTACTTTTGTATTATATAAACACAACCAATTGAAGAGGTCGGATTCCAGAGAAACAACAGTTATTTGTAACGTGCAAACCTCAGCCAAGTATTCTGATATCCCATAATTCAGGGAGCACGGATATATAACGGATAATCTGTTACATGAAAAAACATCTTTAGAAAAATGGTAAATGGATATTCTTACCTGACACACTCTGTATACACCAAAGTCCCCTTTTATCCAAAAATACGAGAAGTGCCCATAACCTGTTTGGAACAGATATGCAGCAACCAGAACTCGAATGTGCATGTACACAGGCAAAAACTGTTGAGAAAGATAAAGAACCTTTTACAAATGGCCACAGAAATGCTTGTTTTCCTTTTTTCCCACCCTATTTTATGCTTCTTCTGCATTGCAGTAAATCAAGCTTAACTAAGAAAAGAAACATCACGTTAAATTTCCCTGTTTCTTATTAAGCTCTTCTGGTGGCCCAACCTCTCTGATGTTAAAACGAATTTCTTCTGTTTATTGCTCGACACTTTCTATATTCTATTACTAGTCAAAAGAGACCTACACAGGCCTCTCTGAAAGCTCACCTTCAGCAGTTTCACATTCAGATATAAAAAAGAAATGGTGCTAGCAATGAAAAATTAAATTAAGAGAATAAATTTGTCATGAAGGAAGCAAGTATATTTTTTCACTGATCAAGTAATGCATAAAAAGCTCTTTATCAATGAAAGCGATGCTTAAATAGAGAGAAAAACTAATTCTGCTAATACCATTTTTAAAACTACAGGAACAATAGCATTAGTTACTCATTCTATTCAACTCTAACACGTATTTGCACTATCTTTCTTTTGAAGTAACACATCCAAATAGCATTCCCACTTAAAAAAGAAATTAGGAAATTCACATCACTTACAGTGCTCGCTCCAGAGATATGATAAATCAAAATAACAAGCTGCATCCAGCCCTTCCATTCATCAGTCTGCTCTCTATTTAACACTTTAGTCTAATGCAAAACAAAACAAGAGTGTTGCTATTCCAAAAAGCACAACAAACAGCTACAAAACGAGGAGAAAAAGTTCAAAACAATAAAGCACTTTGTGGGCAAACGGGTGTCAATTGTAAAAGCCTCGTTTGGCGGGCACAGGTCTGGCAGATCGTTAACGGGACCTACACTCTCGCGTCTGAGCTCCGCTCGCTTCCAACCTGACCGACAACAGCTAAAGGTGCTCAGCCCATGTGCTCTCCATGCAAACACTCTATTGCTTGGGAGTGCATCTTTTTGCAGATCAAAAATACTGATTTTGAGAACTTAACTTTCAATATTTAGCAATTAGTTGTTTACACTCAAACGGGGAAACAAGAAGTCGGGTGTCAACGTGATCATTACCTCTTTGGTATTTTCGGTATAAAATACCCCCAAAACCAAGATATAGACGATTGGTATGAAGAAAGATGAATGTGTATAAAATTTATTTTCCTTCATGAAAAGATTTGCTCTGTCACACAGATAAAAGTAGGTCATGATTAGACCGAGTTTGCAGAAGGAGTGTAAGAGCATCTCTAAAGTAGAAACATTAGGAGTGCTGATGGCAGGTTTCTTCTCCTCTCCGCTTTCCAAATCAGTGCATGATTTGTTCTTCCGATAACTATTCCGATGGATTAAATTAATAATTAAATATCCAATAATGGACAAAGTAAAAAAACAGAAAGCTAACTTCTGGATCAGAGTGAGAGGAGGCTGAGGCTGGCAGCAGGAGCCGTCGATGGGCTTCATTATCTTATTGCAGTAGACGTTCATGAGAATCATCGCGTTCTGTCAAAGAAACAAGCGGTTTTGTCAACTCACCTCTGATGAGAAAGTGAACATCTTGGTCGTACAAAATTTTATTCCAGATCATGCACTGACACAAAACGTACCCCGTCCTCCCTTATCACTACACAGATAAAACCTCCGAGTGCCTTCGACGGAATTCAAAACATCTCTTGAGCTTCTGAAGGTGAACAAAAAGAACTTACAACGGGAGGTTTCTCTCTACTGGCTGCAAAAGGAGCTAGAAAGAGCTGAATGGATTATAAATAAAAACCAGCTCACAGGCTGGGGTCCTGAAGGAGCACGGTAACAAAAGTCTCTAAAACACGAGGAGCAGAGTGAAGCCTGTGGGGAGATGATGTTTAGCTCCCAGAGCACTTGAAAGCAACTGAAACCGGCAAAGGAGTGGAACTAAGGGCGATGCAGCAGGAGAGCTCAGGCCCAAGAGGGGCAGAGCTCACTGCACGCACACACACTGCTCGGTTAAAGACACAGGCAGAACTAAAGCCCGCGGCACTCCAGGCAGGCAGGCAGGTGTACGCCGCTCGCTTCCTGAGCCTTTTCACAGGCCCCTCCACAACATCCTGTGGGCACAGGGAAGAAAACTTTCTTAGCGGTGCTTTACAGATTATTACCCCCTGGCTCCTTCAGGCAAATGAAGGCACTACGTCTGCACTCGGGATCCAAAGATGTCGCAGATTAACAGCTACTTGAAAATAGCCACCCGCTCATGTTTTGGCTCTCGTGGTTTCTACACTTCATATACAACTGACTGCCCTTCCACCTACCCATCTGAACAAAACTCCTCTGAACTGGGATCTTCCACACAAAATTTCCCGAGGGATGTGCAGGCCCACATTACATCACACTGTCTGCCGAGTCAGAGCAGCCACTTACAACTTTGTTTTACTATTATTAATTTTTCCTGTTGACCCGTGGTAAAACCACTTACTGTATCTCTGCTTGACTCGGGGAGATGCAGGCCATCTGCAGACCTCATGATAGTTTCCTGTGCTATCAGTTTCGACACACTGAACACTTTAACTTTAGCTTTGGAATTCCGGGAGCTGCTGTTCAGAATACGAACAGCAGCTTCGTTATAGGCATCTATTTTCTCATTAGTGATCATTTTTCGACTTTCACTCAGCAGATCTTCATAAACAGGATCTGAAAGGACAAAGAACGAGCACATTAATCTTCTGCCTGACAACCACATCCGCATGGCCTGAGTGGCACAGGCTACTCTCATTTAGGCAGTCCCAGTTGTTTAATGGTACAGACAAAATGACTATTACAGTAACTAGAGTTGTTCATGATGAAATGCTCTTGCCGCCATTCCCTAGTCATGCATATGTACTTATAGATCAGAAAGCTTCGGCCAGACGTGAATGCCTGTTTAATTGCCCCAGACCCAAGGAAAGCGCATAATGCAGGAGCGCAGAGCTGCTTGTGCCTTCTCTCAGTGATGGAATCCCCCAAGGAAAGACTCCAAAGCCAAGAGGACAGAAGGCAGGCAGCAGAATAGACATGTGGAGAAAAAATTTAAAGTATCTCAAACCCTCTAGTTACTGCAGAAGAAATCAGCTTCTCATTTCTCTAAGTCATACTCCATAAGCACACTCCATTTGCTCCTGTTGATCCCAGTTTAAGTGATGGCAGAATCTCAGTTTTTCAGAAGAATGGAACAGCACTTAAACGCCTGCAGGCTTCAGAAATTACATAAAGCTTAACACAAAGCTACACGGGGTTCTAGATCAAAACTATGGAAAGCTGCTCATTTACTTTAGTTACCTCACGCCTACTTTTGGACAATCAATGCCTAAGACAACTCTCTGGGTACAGATGCTTCTCCCCTTATTTGTTCCATTCAAGAGCTCAGAGACCACTTAAATGGGCTGGATTCTTATCAGCAGAATGGGGGGACATGTCTGGCAGCTCCCTGTTTCTGTTACGGATACGTGGCTTTTAAAGGGAATGCGAGAAGACTGATCTGTGGTTCAGGTTAACTTCCAGAACCACCTTTGATGGGAGCCTGGATGTGGCTGAAAGGGCACAGCTGGGTACGTTCCTTTCAGGGCTCAAAATCCTCCCACATTGCTGACAACGATCTAAAATGTTACGTTCTATGGCAGATACACCAGGAGCCCGTTGGACCTGCGAGCGCACTGCTCAGTGGCAGGGACACACTTCAGTTTCACTGAAGAAAAGCAGAAGAACATAAGCTTGGTGCTATGATAAAAATCTCACAGCTCAGGGTGAACTGTGATTTCTGGCTCCTGATCAGGAGTGCTCAGTGTACAGAAGCAAGTTTCATTCCAGAGAATTAAAGTCTCGATATTCTCTAAACCATGCTTATTCCCTCTAGACTATACACACACAGAGGACGCACCTGCTGA